CCTCCGCTTGTGCGTCCTCGAAGAGGAGGAGGAGGAGGAGGAGGAGGAGGAGGAGGAGGAGGAGGAGGAGGAGGAGGAGGAGGAGGAGGAGGAGGAGCTCCTCTGGCGGCGCGCAGCGCCAGGGGGGGGGGAAGGCCTCTTGGAAGGAGGCTGCTCCTCAGAGGGCGCCTGCCCTGCATCGGCAGACAAGGCCCGCGCCTTCTGAGAAGCAACCTGCCTCTGAGAAGCCTTCCCCCCTCCCCCTAACCCCGTGTGCGTGCCGCCAACTCCCGCTGGGCCCCGTGATCCTGCTCAAGGCTGCTGCCCCGTCCCCCACCCGCTGCTCTCTGCACAGGCACGGGATAGTGCGCACGCGGCAGGGAATGACTCGCGGGAAGCGCCAGGGATAGGCGGCAACGCGATGGTGTTCAAAGGGATGTAAGCGAAGCCGCGTCCTCGTCCTCGTCCTCGTCCTCCTCCCTGCCTATGAAACGTCAGGACCCACCTGGCCTGGCTGGGCACGCCGCGAGGCGCCCCGTGCTGCGAGGCAGCACCGCCTGCTGTAAGCTGTGTGGCGGCGCTGCGTGCACTCTTATGTTCTACAGTGCGGACGCGGTCGCAAGAAACCCACGCAAGAAACCCAACCCTGCAAAACCCGCGCGCGAAGTGCACCTGAGGGGAAACCCGGAGCACCCTGAACGCAGTAGCCTCTTTGATGGCCGCGGGAAGTCACCGCGCAGCGCGCGGACAGAAAAAACCTAGGGTACCCTGACGAAATGCAGATGGTGTCTTGATGCGCGCCCCCACTGTATGTTTGGGAAGTCCAGCAGATACCGATACCGCTACACCCAGAACCTCTCCCAGGGTGCGTTTTGACTCGAACTCCAAGGCGAATCCAACGGTGGCGACGAGGGCCTCCCCGGAGGCCCAAAGAGGTGTCTATGATGGCGATAATTGAGGTGGAGACGAGGTAGAGGTGAGATGGGCAGAAGGGGGGGACTCAATCGGTGCCCTGCTTCCCCCCGTTTCGAAAGCTATGTTTGCGAGGAGGGCTCGAAGCAAAAGCTGCGGAAGGACCAAGAAAACTTCGAGCCCATTCCATATCCAATTTGGTCTCTGCTGTTCCAACGATTCGCCGTCAAAGTCCATCGGTTCGCTCGCCCGTCTGAATATGTGCGCCCACGCAAGGCGAGGCGGGGAGTTATCCATCACCACCGCTTGAGAAATCAATATTCGGGGCAGTCGACAGGTAGTAGATCTCATCTGCCCCCCCTCCCCCCTCCAGGGCCCGAACATGTCCGCATCGACAGCCTGCCGAGGTCCCCCAGCGCTCGATCCTCCAGGCAGCGGTCATGGATAAATTCCCGGGGCGACGGGAGAAGCACGCACACCGATCGGTAAAGCATGTTGGGGATGTTGGGTGTTGTGGCACGCGCGGGCATGCAAGAGCGAGGGCACTTGCACCGGCTGCTCTGCCTTGCTCGTGCAGCCGAGGCCCACGGGCGAAGCCTGGCGCGCCAAGCCGTCCTCGACTGATCAGAGGGCGTGTTGTTCTAAGCTCGGGCAAGTTTCCTTGCATGACATCTCGACCCCCACCTTCGCCGCCTTTTCAAGCACAGCTGCGCCGAACAAGAGTGCAACTGAATAGAAGTCTGGATTTCCTCTCGGGCCTTGTAAACATCGAGGGACGAGAGAGTCTTTTGGTTGGGGATTGATAATGCTTGATCTTTGGGACCAGGGACGCACTCCGTCGATCGGCACCGTTGAGAGGATCGAAGATCCTCATTCTGCCGAGCGGTGGTTCAACAGACATGCCCTTACACAACTGACAGCAACAACACTATCCCTTTCATTCGCAAGATTGCAATCCAATGCCATATCAGCCGACATGTGCTTTCCGCGGGGTATTACTGTTGACAGTCGTACAGATCTGCCACATCCAGACGAACTGCATTCATGAATGCAGACGTGCTTGTTGCTACATTTCTTCTCATCATTGATTGATTGCGCTGCTGATCTCGATCAGCGTGCGCGTGCCACCTCTGTCTTTGTCGATGCCTCCATCTGCACCTGTCTGTCTCACCGTGTCTCCAGATTGTGATTGATGTCTAGGGAGCCCAAAGAGGACGTACACGCCAAGCCAAGTACATGAAGATGCATACCCAAGCTCGCGAAGTCGCCCTGGTGCCACGAACTCTCGCGCAATGCGCACTCTCGAATGCCATGGGCATTCTCACATACGCATAATCCGCCGGCACCCTTGTGGGGCCACCAGGCTGTAGGCGCGGGTTCGCAGTTTCCTGTACCAGTTGTAGCTTGTAGTTTCCAGTGTTACAATTCTGCTTCTTGCTGGTTACTATAACTAGTTGATTGACCGCGCGAGGGGGGGGAGGCCCAAACCAGATATTTAGCACCTCCTGGGCGCGTAGTCTGAATTGCTGGGGGGGCTCGAAATCGACACCCCTCACACAGAACGGCGGGGTCAGGGTCCAAAAACATAAGGGATTTGCCACATTTCTGAAATTCGGTGCCACCCCTCACGCAGATCCGCGGGGTCAGGGTCCAAAAACATAAGGGATTTGCCACATTTCTGAAATTCGGTGCCACCCCTCACGCAGATCCGCGGGGTCAGGGTCCAAAAACACATGGGATTTGCCACATTTCTGAAATTCGGTGCCACCCCTCACGCAGATCCGCGGGGTCAGGGTCCAAAAACACAAGGGATTTGCCACATTTCTGAAATTCGGTGCCACCCCTCACGCAGATCCGCGGGGTCAGGGTCCAAAAACACATGGGATTTGCCACATTTCTGAAATTCGGTGCCACCCCTCACGCAGATCCGCGGGGTCAGGGTCCAAAAACACAGGGATTTGCCACATTTCTGAAATTCGGTGCCACCCCTCACGCAGATCCGCGGGGTCAGGGTCCAAAAACACAGGGATTTGCCACATTTCTGAAATTCGGTGCCACCCCTCACGCAGATCCGCGGGGTCAGGGTCCAAAAACACAAGGGATTTGCCACATTTCTGAAATTCGGTGCCACCCCTCACGCAGATCCGCGGGGTCAGGGTCCAAAAACACAGGGATTTGCCACATTTCTGAAATTCGGTGCCACCCCTCACGCAGATCCGCGGGGTCAGGGTCCAAAAACACATGGGATTTGCACATTTCTGAAATTCGGTGCCACCCTTCACGCACATCCATCGCAAGGCGTGGTAACCCAAACTGCGAGAACTCCCTCGGCCCTTTAATCGCAAGGTGTGGTAACCAAGCCCGTAAACCATACACTTCTTACCAATCGCCAGGTGTGGTAACCCCTCTTGTGATCAGTTGGTTTTGCTGATTGCGAATCGGCTTCGCATGAAGTTCCGATACTGCTTCACGACAACGCCAAGGCCTCATGACTTAGCTCTTCCATGGCCCATTCTCCGAGAGAGGGAGCCGGCGGCAGGGGGCGAAGCCCTTACGGATATATCCTGGCTCAGCTCCTCAATGTGTCTGGTCGTAAATGTTGGAATCTTGAAGGTCGGAGGCGGCGGTGGGAGGAGGATCGAGCCTTTCTGCGCTCGAAGCGAAGCGCCGCCGTCTGCGCTCGAAGCGAAGCGCTCGCGGCTCGGGCGGCAACACAAACGGCAGGCGAAACCCACGAGCGGGCCGCCTCCACTGCGGGGCAGGGGAATGCACGACGGAGAGGACGGGGCGAGGGACGGGGAGAGAGGGAGAGGAAGAGGGGAAGGGATGGGACGGGATGGGAAGGGCTGGGAGGAGCGCGCGAGAGGGCGAGGGAGGGAGGGCGGGGTCCGATTGGAAAAGAGAGGGGAAGGTTGCCTCCCGCTTGTCGTGCTCATCTCTCGGTGCACGGGCCATCTGGCCAAGACGACCCGACCCCCCGTGGCTCCGCACGCCCGCCCGAGGCCGGCTGCACCGCTCTGTGTTCCGCTCCGCTGCGGTGCTGTGCTCCCGCGTCGCGCTGCGCTGCGTCACGCCGCTTCCGCATCTGCACCGCGCTGCTTCGCCTCGCACTTGCCCTGCGCTGCACCGCGCTGCTGCCTAGGGCGGAGGAGGAGGAGGAGGAGGAGGAGAAGGAGGAGGAGGAGGAGAAGGAGGCCCACGAAGAACTGGGGGGGGGCTGCCCCCCTCCGAACAAGGGGGGGAGGAAGCGTCCCCAAGGAGCCTGGACTCGCCGTGAGAATCCACCGCCGGCCCGCCTGCGCGAAGGCGGCAGGGATCGCCTTTTGCCACGGCCTGCCTCGGGGAAGCGGTGTGCTCCGAAGCCGTGTCGTCGCGGCTCGTGCACCGCGCACACCGTTCAAATTTGAATGGCCGCGGCTGGCTGATAGCGAAGATTCTTTGATGTGGGCCAGTCCCGGGGCACCGTCGGCGTTCGGCGTTCAGCCCTGAGCGCCCGCGCTGGGATCGCCGCCGCATCAGCGCGGCGCGAACCTGCCGCCAGCACGGCCAGGGCCTCCAGAGACGCGCCGCAGCCTCGAGGCTGTTCCTGGCGGAACCGGCTGGCCCTAGACTCTGTGATACAGTGGAGGCCCGACCTCAAGAAACCGTCCACGAGAAATCCAACCCTGAGACCCCCGGACGTCCACGGATTTTTGGTGTGGGCAAGTCGCGCCCTCCACAGCAAAACCATCAAAACCCCAGACACCCAGGGCACCCTGGAGGCAATCAGGTTGCTTCTTGGCATGGGTCTCCGCTGTACTGTCAGGCTGCCACCAACAAGGAACGCTGAACAAGGAAGCGGGGCTCCTTTTTGGCCCCAAGGGGACACGAGGGGCGCCAGAGGAGCAACCATGGCAGGACCTAAGGAGCAATGCGCGCCTTCCGAACCCAACTGTTCACCAGCCTCGATCTCATCCCTCTGTTTGATTACGATTGGCAAGCCTAAGGCGATGCCCATGCTAGAGATGTGCCCTCAGAAGCAGAGGGAACCTTCAGGATCGGCACCAAGATAAGGCGATACCAACATCATACATCATACGGATGGGTGTATGCTTCAGGTTGTTAAGCTGCTCTTGTTTCCGGCGTCTTGGATGACTGGTTGTAAGTTCGCCGCACTGCCGCGCACAGCATCGGCCGCGAGCGAGCCGAGGATCAGAGCTCCTCGCAAGGCTCGGGAAGGGCAGACCTCGATGCGGGCTCGGCATGGAAGCCCCCACCGAGGCGGAGGATGGGGAGGAAGCAGGAGCTGAAAGCAACGACGTGCAGATGCAGCCTAAGGCCTAAAGCAAGACGCAAGATCGTACGCCAACTTCCGGAGGTCCGCGCGGATTACTTCTGTCGGCCCTGGACCACCCATCCCCACTTCCAGGAGAGCCCAAAATCAAATCGATAAGTCGGATTGGAAATCGAAATTAATCAGATCGGCGGGAATCGGCAGCCACGTCGGGAGAAATTGAATCGGCGGAAACCAGCAGACGAAAATGCCTCTAATCAAAAATCGGAATCCAAATCGGAATCCGAAATCGAATCGAACCGGAATCGGAAGCCATCGAAATCAAATCGAATCAAATCGAAGGAATCGAAACGAGCCCTGACTTCCCTTCCCCGACGCGCGACGCGCGACAGAGGCCCCGCCAGGAATGCAGGGAGTGGGGTTCTCAGCGCCACCTCCTGAAATCCGCACGGGACCCCGAAGGTTCATAGATTCGATCATGCGGTATCCGCCACCCGGCCTCGTGCCCAGTGGGCGTGCTACAATACTTGCTGTTGTCTGGGAGGGTTCGGTTCGTTTTCCAGGGCCGACCCCCCCCCCTCCCCGCACGCGTGGTGAAAGAATCGTCCCCCCTGAAACTGCCTTCTGGCGAGCTTTTCGACCTCCAGACGGCCAATGTGGTTTCCAAGACAGCCAAGACGACACCCAAACGTCTCACGATGGCACACAAGACTGCTCAAAAGACTCTCAAGACAGCCTAAAGACGGACCAATAGGCCCCTAAGCCGGTTTAAGAGAGCTCCAAGAGGCGCTCCAGGACAGCCCGAGGAGGCCAACACTATTGATTTCCCTTGGGTGTTCGAAGGATTTTGCGGTTCTCGCCTTCGCTGGTTTCCGACCGCCCAAGACGGCCCAAGGGGCCTCCAAGACAGCTCCAAGACAACCCATGAGGCCAAGAGAACAGCCCGAGAAGCTCCCAAGAGGGTTTCAATACTGCCCTAAAGCGCTCCAAAGTGGGCACCGAGACGGCCCAGATGCCCCCACGATGGCATCCGAAGGCGTCAGACGGGCCAATCGCCTCCTTATGACGGCCAAAAAAGCCCCAAAAGGCCCCCAAGAGGCCCCAGGAGGCCCCCAAAAGGCCCCCCCAGGGGGCCCCCAGGAGGTACCCAGGAGTCTCGAAGAGGGCCCCAAGAGTTGTTGTCCACCTCGTCCTTGTTTTCCCCCCCTCCTCCTCCTCCGCCTCCTGTTCCTCCTTTTCCTCCTCCTCCTCCTCTTCCTGCATTCCTTCTCCTTAAAAATAGCTCCCTGTCGCACCCAAAAGGCTGGTCGAAAGGGCGGGCCGGGCGTTTCGCCTCACTCTCCCTCACCATTTATGTCCCTGAAGCGTAGTCACAGATGGAAGGCGGGTCGTTTTCAAAATATGGCTCTCGCTTACACGCCGCTCGCATTCGTCTTCAAGTTTGGTAAAGAGTTTCGCGCTTTCAATGCGGGTGGTTTTCAAGACGTGGCTCGCGCCTTAGCGCCGCGTGCATTCGTTAGAAACATTTGCAAGTGACTCACGGATTGAAGGCGGTTCGTTTTCAAAATGTGGCTATCGACTTACAACCACTCACGTTCGTCATAAAATATGCGAGCGTCTCACGGATTCCCATGGTCAACGTACTTGGTGTTTTGAAAGGGTTCCGACTTGTGACAGTGCAACTGATATGTTAACTCGCGGCGTCGAAATTCAAGGAATGGCGTTCTGGCGTGATTCAGGATCGTCAAAATGCAACAGTCAAGTTGACCCGTGGCGTTGGAACCCCGAGGATGGTATTCTTTGGCACGCTTCAGGGTCTTCTAGCGGATGCCCCCCAACGAGGCAATTCCTTCAGTGGACATGAACCCTTGTAGGGGCCTGTGAACAGGGATCCTTGAGGGAAGGTGTACTCCAACATCGTTGATGTTTCTTGGGGTTACACTTCGGCACTGCGGGCAAATCGGCCCTTCCCCGCCGAAGCCCGCGCCGCGCCCGCGCCCGTCGCGCGCGGCGCGACGCGCGACCCCCTTCCTCAGAGATCCTCTGGAGGGGGCCTCAAAGAGCCCGTGGGTTCCCGGGCGCCCCGCAGCCAGGAAAGAGAGATGTCTCGAGGGCCTCGGAGACAAGAATGCGGGAGCCCCGGAGACTCAAATACGAAAGGGCGACGGGACCACACGAGGACAAGCGAGGACGAGGGGCCACCTGGACCGAGGGAGGGGAGGCGGAACCTAGGGCCAGAGGCGAGGGCGAAGCGAGAGGGAGGGGCCTCCTGGGCGATCGAGGGGGAATGCGACCGAAGTCGACTGCTAGCGGCCGCCGCCCGTCGTTACACCTGATTGTTATCCCCCCCCCCCTCGCCCCGCGAGGGGGCGGTCTGGGCGGTGTAGTTCGGCCGCTTGTGGGCGCTCTGTCCGTTCTCGTAGGAGTTGCCCCCGTGCTTGTTCCTGTGCCCCTGTTGCGGGCGGGGCGCCAGGGTACCGTCGTAGTGCCGTTCCTGTGCTTGTCGTGATTCCATCATGGTGCCATCCCTGGTGATCAGCATCCGGCACCCGTCAAGGTTGTCGCCGCAGTGCCAATCCTGCGCATGTCGTGACGCATCCGCCGCGCGCTGGATAGTCTCACCGATGATGTCCCCGATCTCGTTGTGGCTGGTCGTGTGCCCGTCGTTCATAACTGCCGTGTAGTTGTCGCTGACCGTCACGTGCGGGTGCCTTCTGAGCATCTGGTGCTCGTCTATCTTGGTCTTGTCAAGTACGATGGCGGGGATTGCATGATGTGGCTGTCGCGAGTGGTGGTGCGCTGCTGGTGTGCGTTGTGCTGCTGGTGCCCCCATGGGTGGTTCAGTGTGCGGCATCGGTTGTCGGCGTGGAATGACTCGAGGTTGGTGTCGATGTTATGGAGAGCAACGCGCCCATTCGCCATCTGTTCGTGAGCGCGTTTGCGCATGTCGTCGTACTTCTCGCTGCCTGGTCCGATGATGTGAGTCTCGATGCTGGGATCCTGCAGGGTCACGTGCTGCTGGATGGTGCCAAGGAGTTCGTGGGTGGTGGTGGTGGTGCTTGCGGACGTGATCAGGATGGTGTGTGGTGTTGTCCTGCTGCGTGAATTCGTCGTGATGCAGGTGTCGTCGCGGTGGTGGTTGGTGTTCTGTTGGCTGCCGCGTGGGATCCGCGTCGGGATCGGGGCGCTGGGGTCGGGGGCGTTGATGATGGGCCTGGTTGGTGGTCCGTGAAGCTGAAGTGGCGGTTGCCCAGCGAAATCTTCAGGAACATGTCGGCTGTTGCGTCTGACACGCCTTACTTCCTTTGTTGGCCTCCACCTCGTCGGGCTTGGCTCTGTAACTGCTGGCGCGCCAGGAGGCCGAACGAGTTGCGGACACTTTGGCGCGCTTGATGAGCCGGTTGGCGTCGTGGTAATACTTCATGCAGATCTGACAGGTCTCACCGCTGACGATGTTGCTGATGTCGATGTCGCTTGTGTAGTGCGCGTGCACGCGCCTGTTGCGGGCTGCTTTGTTCTTGGAGGCCCCCCCGCAAAGGTAGCGCATAACTGGTCCGTGGTCGAGCTCTTCGTGTACGTCGTCACCCTGGCATAGTGATGGTAGTAGTCAAAGTGATTCCGCAGAGGTCGCAATAGTTGCCCGCCGAGTATCGCGTCTTGTCTGCTCCATTTTCTGGTCGTTCGAGCGCGTGCAGGCGTGGGAAAGGGTGGGCTTCAGGTAGCTGAGGTCGCTCCTGGTCAACATGGCGAGCTCCGCGATGTCTTCGGGTGCTCTGTTCTGCCGGCTGTAGTCGCAGTGACGGCAGTAATGTTGGAGGTCATTGTTGATTGCAGTCGTCCAAGCCCCGCTTCGCTCTTTTCGTAGTCTGCGAGCGCATGTAATTCTGGTGGGCACTGGCGTGCGATTCGTATCACCTGTCGTACTCGGGGTCGTGGTAGCCGCCCTTGTAGTGTCGGGGGTCCAGCTTTTTCGAGGATCTGGTCGTTGTTGATGCGATTGTTGCGCATCTGGTCGTGGGTGATGCCAACGGCCTGTCTGGCTGCAGATGCGCATGCTGATGCCAGTCAGTCCGTGTCGCGCTGCTTGGTGATGAACCAGGTGCCTGCGTTGAAAAGAAGCTTCAAGTCTCCAAACGCTTCGAGGTAATGTCTTGGCTTTGGTAGTAACTGCTCGTCTTTTGATTAGCGTCTTGCGTGGTGGTCCCGTTATCTGCCGAAGTGCGATGGTCCGTGCTGCTTCTTCCTGCCCGAAGTCGTTCCTGTCGTTGAACATCGCTCCAATCAGCTTAGTGTTCCTGGCGATGGTAACCGCGAAACCCATGGGCCATGGTGCGCGCGACTCGCTGTCCCACGACGGCGTTGGGGTAGACGATGAAATTTGACTTGTCCGCGTTAATGGGCAGGCCTCTGTTCGAGGTTGATCGGATCAGGTGTCCCCACATGGTTGTGGTGAGGTCGTGGATGTCGTTGCCGCTGTCGGCCATCGCTGCTGCCTTGGCGTCGTCCACAAAAGACGTGGACGACAAGTGTTTGGTCACTGTCGCGCCGTTGAAAATGCCGAGGTGCTGGAGGCATCGGCGCGACGCCGCCGCCCAGCGCAGCGAGTTGGCGGCGTTCGCGCGTGACGTCGGCCATGAGCGCGCGGAAGGTGAAGTCCGCAGTCGGCACTCCAGGCCTCGCCCCTAGCCTGGAGGGCAGCACAGGCGGCGCCCTGGTGCACGAACAACCGCGTCTCTTTTTGTGCTTCGATGAGCATCTGGAGGAGGTGCTGGTTGTCCACGCGCCTGTTGACGATTCCGCAGTTGGTCATCAGCCTGGTGATGGCTGGGATCATCGTCTCGGGGGTGTCGACGCGGTCAAGGATGTCACTGATCTGCTCTTCGCTGGGTTCCATGCTGTAGACGAGCTGGCTAATCACTTTCTGGAAGGCAGCTTTGAAGTCGGTCATGATGATGACAAGGTCGTTCTGGAGCGATTTGGCAGTGTCAAAGAACAACCTCATGGTGATATGGTTGAAGTCGGTGCTGCAGTGCTGCCTGCCTCCTGTCCGTGGAAAACATCATGTCGGGAATGAGATCTTTCATGCACTGCCGGCTGTAGCGGCAGTGGTGCGTGATGACAACGTTGACAAGCGTGGTTTTTGAATGCCTCCTCTGCTCCCTTGCCCTTCCAGAAGCAGGTCGTCCGTGACTCTTCGTGGGCGGCGCTTTCCTGTAGTAGAGCGCGGCCTTGGTGAAGACGGGATGCGCGTGTCGCGCTACCCCTCGTGGCGCGGCCTTCGCCAAATCGTCGGCGATGCCGTCGGGCCCAGGGGCGCGGCAAGGCTTGGCTTTCGCTAGGATGTCCCGAAGCTCGTAGATGCTGGTAAAGTTGTCTATGCGCCTGCTGCTGTGGCTGGTGTCGAACTGGTGGGTGTGGTTGTATCGGTCGATAATCTGCCGCTGCGTCGTGATCTCCGCCGCCTCGTTGCTGCCGAAGTGCTGTTCTGGCTTCTGTGGCTTTATTAGCCGTGCTATCAAGAACGTCGCCGTCCGAGGAGAAAAGTATGGGGTATGCTATCTTTCTCTGTCTTTTCCTTCCGCCAAACATGTACAGCGTCTTGGTGTACTTCCACTCGGTGAAGGAGTGAAAGAGTCGCCGTGTTCTCTGGCCAACATAGCTACCTGCGCCTGCTCTTCCAAGAAATGGTCGCAACCCCTGTCGATCACTCGGACGATGCATTTTTGAGTCGTGTGAATCCACCGTTTTACGATGTTGAACAATGTCGTGTGGTCGAGGTTGCCGTCAGTGTAGTGCGCGAGGTAGTGGAGCTGATACGTCTCGCTGTACGCCTGCTGCATGGCTTCGGCTGTCATGTGCAAGGTTGGGTTGTCCTTGATCAGGATGACGTGTTTGTTTGCCCGCCTTTTCACAGCCGGCTGAAGTGGCCCTCCGCCGGTCGCCTTCCCGACGTACTTCATGAACTTTCTCCTACACAATACGACTGCGAACTTCTCTTGGGTGACGTGCTCTTGGTAGTTGTTGTGTGCTTCTCGTGCGAAGGATCTTTGGGCGACATCCATGATGGTCAGCATGTAACAATAGACGTGCTCGCCGTAGTTCATGTCCCATGCTGGTGCAACAGTGGAGTTGATTTCGTTCTTGAATTGTCAATGGCCTCCTGGGAAGCTGGCTCCTGTCGATTTTCGGAAAAAATTGTTTGGGCGCCGCGTGCTTGATGGTCCAGGCAGCCGTTGCCATGACGGGTTTGTGGTCCTCCCTCTGGTGGTCGTGATTCTTTTGCTTCTTCATGGTCTCCAAAATGCTGATGGTGCGGACGTCCGTGATATTGGGCGCGAGGTCCTCGTTGGTCAGGATGTAGTCCAGTCTGTGCTTGTTGCCGCGTCCGTCTCGCCAAGTATGGTGCTCCTTGCCGTTGGAGGTATTGGTGTTTGTGATGGTGTACCTTCCGTCCGCTGCCGTCTCGTGAAGTTTCTTACCGTTGCCGTCCTCCTTCTGCGGGGGACCCTGGTTTCCAACCCACTGTGTCCGTACCCCTCCCACGCCTCCATTGGCGTCAGTCAGAATGACGTCGGGCTTGTACTTGCGGGTGTGTCTGTTGAGAGCGTCCCAATATCTGTTCTTGTCCTCGTCGCAAGGTTTACACTGGTCCTCCTCCTCCTCCTCCTCCTCCTCCTCCTCCTCCCTACTGCGCTGACGAAGACGACGTCGGGATCACGACCCTACACAATTCAGACCACACGCAGAACTGCCGCCGGGGTGTGCACTCGACCTCCTTCCTACTGCGCGGAAGAAAACGGGTTCGAATTCACGACCCGTTGTCCTTGTCGGACCACTCGTCGGAATTGCGCTGTTCCTACACTCAGCCTCCTTCCTGCTGTGCTGTTGCACGGGCACGGTGGCGGGGTTTGCCGCAGGCAGCTGGATAGCTTCCAAGTTCGCGCAAGTTTCGCAAAGCTCGGGAAGATCAAGGCTAGGTCCCCGACAGGATATCCGATCCGAGGGGTCGCCCTCTCCACTTCTTGGGCGAATGGGAACGATAGGGATGGAGCGACTCAGGCGGAAACATCGACCTGCAATCGGCGATACATCGCCCATAGATCGGTGATAGGCCCCCCCATAGCGAAACTCTGCGTTCCTGGGCGAGGAGGGCCATCCGGCCCCTATCGGCGATGAGTGGGCGATCTGGGGCCGATGCGTTCCCCCATGAGCCCGTCGTCCCCCGAGAGCTGCTCCTGATTGGGAGAGACCTCTGGTCCCCAAGCGATGTCTCGGCGTGGCGCTCGGACATCCGACCAGATTCCAGGATCCCAGGATCGCATGGGAAGGCAGATCCCTCAGACCGCGCACCTTCTGCCACGCACGAAACAGAGACGGACACAAGGTAGGACGATGCCCAGCGACCTGCGTGGTCCAAGGCCCACGGCGGCCGCTGCTGGGCAGGCGACTCTTTCTTCCGAATCGACAGAACATCCCACGCGACTTTCGGCAGCGAGCCCTGCTCCGATGGACGGGGGCAGTTCCAGGTCTTCGTCCCCGTTCTTTCCGTCCCCGTCTCGCTCGCGCCGACTGGGTATCCCGTCGGGGCCTGCGCCACCCTGATGGGGACACAGCACACGGGACGTCTTGGCCGACGCACGGAGTTGGCCTTCTCCTGCCACGTTCCTGCACCACCCGGCGCGACAGTGACACCTTCCTGCCTCTCTCCTGAGCGGGGACGTTGAAGGGGACTTGCTCAGGGGAAGGACATCGACCTGCAATCGGCGATACATCGCCGATAGATCAAGGATAGGCCCGCGATGGCGACTCCGGACGTTCATAGGGGGGGGGGCTATCAGGCCCCTGTCGGCGATAGCTCGGCGATTGGGGGTCGATGCATCCCCCCCTGAGCCTGTGTCCCCCCTATCGCTGCCCCTGGCTCCTGCACCTGCCGGCGCGCTGACGACGTACGCCGTCACTGGGTTCCCGTCTCGGTGGCGACGACTGCTCGGCGACTCCGACGGGTGTGCAGCCCGCGCCCCAAGGGGGGGGGGCGGGTGAGGACCTCGACAGAGACCACTGGCACGCCCAGGCGGGGGCTCGCCACACCTCTGGCGCAGCGCGGCGGGCCTTGGGCCCCAGCGGCGCTGATCGCAAGCCACACCGCAGCGTAGCCACACGTGGCGGCGCGCTAAAAGGGGTCAGGGGGAGGGGGGGAGGCTTGTAAGAAGGAGGCTGCTTCTCACTTCTCAGAAGGCGCTGGCCCTTCATCTATAAGCGAGGCCCGCGCTTTCGAAGAAGCGAGGGTGCTTCTAAGAAGCCTTCCCCCTCCCCCCGCGGATCGCAAACCACGCGCACCGCGGCGTCGCCACACCTGGCGCAATCGCCGAGGTGGGGCTTGACTTGGGCGCGAGTCAATGGGGGCGGGCGAAACATCATGGGTGGGCTGCGCGGGCTGCAGAGAAAAGGAGCCCGTCATGAGTCAGGGCCCCTAGAGGGGGGGCCCTCTAGGGCCCAGAAGAAGGGGGCCCGTGGGGCCCGAGAAGGGCACCTTTCTCCCCCCCCCAAACAGATCGCCCCCCACTATCATACAGGCCTCCTAGATGGGGTCGGAGTAGATGGGGTCGGACGATCGCGCCGCATCGCCGATACATCAGTGATGCATCAGCGATGCATCGGCGATGCAGCGTCGACGTCGGCGATGCACCGGCGATGCAGCGTCGATGTCGGCGATGCACCGGCGACGTCGGCGTGAAGCAAATCCGGCTCCACATCGAGCCGCATCGGCGATGCACCGGCGATGCGGAGCGATCCTCCGACCCCATCTGCCCGGACTCCCTCTGGGAGGCCTAGATCATCCGCGCCCGGTCGACGACGAGGACTGGGTCGGGCGTGTCCCGTCACGGGAGGATTGCGGGCGAAAGCTCCAAAAAAACACAAGACACAGCCCAACAAGATACAGCAATAGCCAAACATCGTCCCCACAGTGAGACTCGTTGTCTACCATCTGTGAAGATTCAAACAGGGCTAGGATCGGGATAAATCGCTCCAGAGCGTTCCAGAGCGCTCTCAGAGCGTTCCGGAACGCTCTGGAGCGGCCGCGGCGCCCAATACATCCTCTAAACCCGCCGATTCTCAGAGATTTCGAGTTATCCCGATCCGATGTTGTCCCGATCTTCGCGTCGTTTTAAAGATTCTTCCTGTGGAGGGACGGGCCCGACCTGGGACAGGGATCGGGGCCGGCCCAGGCCGCGGCCTCAGTAGTGCCTCGGGTCCTTCCAGGCGTGCTCGGCGCCCCAGAGCCACTGCTCCTCGACGCGGTGCGCCTTGGGGACCGTCTCGTCCGAGGTCGCGGCCTCCTTGCTCCTGGCGGCGGGGCCGCGGCGGCTTCTCGTCTTCCTCTCTCCTCTCCTCTCCTCTTCCTCTCCTCTCCTCCCTTCTCCTCCTCTCCTCTCGTCTCCTTTTCCTCTCCTCTCCTCTCCTCTCCTCTCCTCGCCTCTCTTCCTCCTCCTCCTCCTCCTGCCCCCTTTGCTCTTCCTCCCCCTCCTACTCCTCGGCCGCCCTTCCCCCCAATCCTTCTCCTGATCCTCCTCATCACCGCTGCCGCTATCCAGGCACATCGAACTTGGTTGTGTTCCGGGCCAAGCAACCCAGCACGAAGGGCTGCGCATTCTGAGCTCGGGAACACAAGGGGAAGGACGACGCCGGCACAAACAGCACAGCCACAGACACTGACAGGGCCACAAGCACACACAGAGACACACACACACACACACACAAACGCACACAACGCGACAACAAACGACGCAAGATGGGATGAAAAAGGGGGTAGCGGGCGGGCACCCCAAAAAAAGGCTTGAGCTACGGCGCCAGCGGAACAACCAACTACCAGCAGGCGCGTAGGGCGCCGCAGATAATTTTGATCATCAGTCGCGCGGGGCGCAAACGGTGATATTTTCATCGGCTGGCGCGCGGCCCTCAACACCATCGCGATGATTGTTCTAGAAATGACCATCGTTGCAGGTATCCGGGCCAGGAGAATCTTTTTTCTCGGGCAAGAAAGCTCGGCACGAATGGCTGCGCATTCTGATATCGGAAGGAGATGTGGAGGGACGACGCCGGCACAAACAGCACATACACAGACGCACACAGACACAGACACAGACACACACACACACACACAAACACACAAGCCCATACGCAACACAACGACGAACGACGCAAGAGATAAGGAATTCCCTATTCACCCCGGATGGGCTGCTGGCTACAGCCGCAATTCGCAAATTATTGGCGGGAGACGGCAGAGTCTGAGAGATTCAATGCGCCGCTCCAAAAGATGCTAGAACCAAGGTTGTCGATGGCAGCCGTAATGGTTGGATGCAGGCTCCGGCGACCTTTCTGACAAAACTTGCACTGGGCACTTCCACGCTACAGGCTGAGGAGGCTCGGAGATCGAGGTTAGGCAGACCCCAAAGGCGCTCTCTGTCTCGGACGCAGCACCGGCTCGTTCCCGGGGGACCGCGCCTGGCTTGCGACCAGGTGCAACAAGGAGACGGCCATCCAGACAGCGACGACAACATTGCATGTAATGCATCCCAGGATGGCCGACTGGATCACGAGCTTATTCAGATCGAGCCAGGGCTGTTCAACAACACCTACAGAAATGACCCCGCGCACCCTCGCTCGCATAGCTCTGGACATCCCAGCCTCGTCGGCAAAAATCTCTAAAACTATATATTTTCCTGTGCGCGCTGGGCCGGAGGCGAGATCGGCCCCTGCGGGGGCGGCCCGCCGCGCGCGAAGATGCCGGCGAGCTGCTCGGACGCGCGGCGGCCGTTCGCCACGGCGGCCGCGGTGGCCCACTGGAGCTCCGCCAGCGCCCTGGCCTCCTCGCTGCGCCGCTCGAACATGGAGTCGATGCGCCAGCCGCCTCGAGTCTTGGCGCCGCCCTGCTGTCGCGCGGTTATAGGGAAGGCCGCCTAGCGCCGCGCCCTCGCCCCAGGCCCCAACCTCGGTTGGCTCCTCCAGCTCGGCCAGGCCCAGAAGACGCGCCCAGCGCGCGGCAGCGGCGCCCGCCGCCGCCGCTGGCAACGCCAGCTGCGTCGCCGTCTGGCCGTCGCGCTCGCCGGGCTGGGCGCGCTCGACCAACCTTCGCGGCGGCGGGTGGTCCACCGCGGCCGCCGCCGGCGCCCAAGGCGCAGGCGGCCGCATCTTTCGGGGAACCACCCTCGCCGAGCCCGCCAGCGCTCGGGAAGCGCGCGACAGGCGGAGGCCCCCGTGGCGGCCGACGCCCGGGTAGTAGACTTCATCGTCGCAAAAATCTGGCTGGCGACGTCGCCCGAACACTCCAGATATAATAAGCCCAGAGGTCTGAAAGGACTATTTTTTAGTCCCGACACACAACATAAACTCCGGACTATTTTTTTAGTCCCCATGTATATAAATAGTCCCGACCTACAACTTCTAGAAAACAGCATAGCAAACGCTAGAACTTAAGGCGTGCGCGAAGTGTGTCGTGCTCAATCTCGTTTGTTTGACTCCCCTCTATGTTCTCGTCCTCCTCCGCATGATTTGTCTCGTCCTCATCCGTCCTCGTCTCTTACCGACCACGGAAACGATGCCGAGCTAATCATGATACTGTAATCGTCCCTTCCTTCTCCTCCCATCCGTCGTCTTCCACCACGATCATATTTTCGTCACGGGTCCTCTCATTTCTCCCATACTGCGTCTACTCCTATTCCTCCTGCTCCCCCCTCCACCTCATTCGCAGCTCGTTTATTCGCGAGCGGTCCTGGCGCCTACAGGGGGCATGCCACCCAAGGGGACACAGGCCCCGCCGCGGCCGAAATCGTCGGTGGACGACGACCGACTCTTCGCCGCGTGGTCGAAGCACGTCGAGACGGCCGAATGGTTCCGACGGGAAGCGACGTCGTCGTCGTCGTCGTCGTCGTCGTCGTCGTCGTCGTCGTCGTCGTCGTCGTCGTCGTCGTCGTCGTCGTCGTCGTCGTCGTCGTCATCGTCGTCGTCGTCGGCGTCGTCGTCGTCGCCGTCGTCGTCGTCGTCGTCGTCGTGGCAGCCGAGGTTAGAGTACACTACGGAGCTCGATGACGAGATGCAGCAGGACGCGCTGGTGAAGTACAGCGCATTCATCAACGAGACCCGCCCCATCGTCCAGACGGGCGGCGTGTCGCAGAAGACTGCCAAGGAGAGGGGGTTGGGAGGATGCGGAGTGGCGGAGGTGTGAGAGGGAGAGGGCGAGGACGGGGGAGTACGGTGGAAGACTGGTGGAGTCGTCAGAGGATTAGGAGACATGACGAGCGGGGAAGGGTGGAGGAAAGGCGAGGGCGGAGGATGACGGGGTGAACCCGACGGATCAGTAGGAGGAGTTGGAGGGGTCAGGGTGAGGAGATGCGAAAGCCACACAGCCTCCGCGTTCATTCCGTCAGGCAGGGGGCGGGGCTCACCGAAGTTCACCGCTGGCGGTGAACTTCGGTGAGCCCCATCCCTGCTCGACGGAATGCGCGGTGAGCTGGAGTTGGGCAAGTGTGCGCCCCAGGACGTCTTCCTGCGGGTCGCGGCGAGCAAGGAGCACGTCTGGAAGTTGGCGGACACCCAGGAGGATTGGGCCACGGATCGCGCCAAGATGGCGCGGGCCATGCTGCGGCACGCGAAGAAAGCGCTATCGAGGCAGCGGTGCGTCGTCGTCGTCGTCGTCGTCGTCGTCGTCGACGTCGTCGTCGTCGTCGTCGTCGTCGTCGCGCTAGGCAACCAGTGCCAACGTGGGCCCAAAAGGCCTTCTTGGATGGCGACACTACGGACTTTAGGGCAATAATCGCAACTTCCAGCGGTGACGACGACGACGACGACGACGACGACGACGACGAGGACGACGACGACGACGACGACGGCGACGGCGCCGACGACGCCGACGCCGCCGACGACGACGACGACGACGAAGACGACGACGATGACGACGACGACGACGACGGGCGCACATGCGCGCGCGCGCACCGCGCGATCCATGATACCATGGATTGCGCGCGTGATGCCACCTCAGAGCTCACCGAAACTCACCGCGAGCGGTGAGCGTCGGTGAGCTCCGAGGTGGCGTGCGCGAATGCGCGCGCGTGTGTGTGTGCGCCTGAGGGTGTACATCTCGTGAATACCGTTCGACAAAGTTCACCATCCGTCCTCCGCCCAATCCACCCCGACCACCCCAGTAGATGTTTGCACGGCGCCCGTCACAGGACGGCAAGGATGAGCCCGCCGCCAAGAGGCGCAAGCAGCCGAAGGTGCTGCAGGCGACGGCCACGGGGCTGAAGCACATCGCGGAGGAGGACGGCTGGCGGCTGGGGTACGAGAAAGAGCTGAAGGCTACGGGGCACAAGTTTCTGGCGGTGCCAACCCTACCTCTCTCGCCCCGCACCCTCGGCTCCACCACGCCCTCCGCAGCGGAGCATGTGGTCGGGTCACTGGGGGCGCGAGGCGGAGGGAAGGGCTGGCATCGCCAAAAGCGAGTGCGTCTCTCAAGTCGGCGTGGCGCATCAAGGATGGCGTCAGTGTCCCCGAGTACGGCACCATGAAGAAGGTGGACGACGGCTGGCGCGCGATCTGGCCCGACGGGTTCGAGTGGACGGTTCTTCCTGGATGCAACCCCGCTCCCCCACCCAAAATCGGGGGATAGAGGATGAGGGAATGAGGTTTTGGAAGAACGAGGTCTCGGGGGATAGAAGATGAGGGAAGACGGATGATGTGGAGGGAATGAGGAGGATGAGGTGGAGGGAGGGAGGGAGGGAGGGAGGGGGGGATGCCGGAGAGTGTTGCATTCGCGAGAAGGTGCCTGGCGTGGCTGTTGATGCTGCCGATCATGCAGCGGCCGCGGAGAGCGGCGCCAAGACGGTGGTGTGGGACGGCATGAAAGGCGACACCGAGGTGAAGGTCAAGATCGTCAACAACCACAGGTCGGGCAAGCAGTGGGTGACCTTGTGGGAGGGGTCCAGCCAGCGGGTGCAGCTGACGGGCTACTCGGACGTCGAGGCGGCCAAGGTCTTCATGACCGAGCAGGCGAAGCTGTTCGTCGCCAACAGCATCGACAAGGATGGCATCGAGGACAACAAGCGCAAGTGGCTGAGCGAGGACAGGAAGCAGGATCGGAAGATGAAGCGGCCAGCTGCTGCCCTGAAGCGGCCAGCGGCGGCGGCAGCTGAGGCCGATGCCGCTGCAGGCGCTGACGAGGGCGAGGATCGTGACGGTGATGATGATAACGATGATCGCTCCTCGCGTCCTGGTGGCAACGAGGACGACGACAACGAGCCAGAGGACGAGGTCAGCGAGTACGAGGCCGATGAGGCGGGGGCGGTTAGCAA